AATCCATTACCAAGAGTTGTCTTCACTCAGGAAAACATCCCTATCAAGTGTTAACCCAATAACTAGGACAGCCCTGAAGGCAAAGGGTCAGAGAGAGAGGATCACACTCTCCGGCTGCAGAGGGCACCCCCAGCCACGTGCAAGGAGGCACGAGGTCGTTCGAGATGAGAGGATTCTAATCTTCAACTTTCTGAGGAGATGGGATGCTTCTTCATCTTTCTGCTCGGTGGGCTCAAGCAGACAACTCTGCAGGACGAGCGAGGGCTCTGCTCTCAAGCAGATAGAAGAAGGAATGCGGGCAGATGAGCCTCCATTTCACTGGGGGATCATAAAGTGCTCACTGAATGAGCCACAAAAGCAGAGCAATTGGGGGGTTGAAATATGGCGCTCTGATGAAGAAGTGTTTTGAGCCAATCAGCACCTCAGTGCTAATTCTACAGTATCAGGATGCCTTTACACACCAGACACTCTGTGTCATAAAGAGAGGAGGAGGACGAGTCAGGAGGACATGTTCTTCCAGCTCTTGTACAAAGATAACATTTGAATTGAAGGACCAGATGTTTACAGATGTACAATTCATGATTGTTTTTTATATTTCCGATGAACAGATATGTGTTAAATAGTGGTGATAAATATATTTTGTCAGATCAGATTACACTTTCACACTAAACAAAATTAATTAATTGATATTTTCAGATTATAAGGTATTGAACAATAAGATATTTCTAATATTATAACAGATAATGTTAATATCCTTAATTGTCCAGCAATCAGGCTTAACAACACTACTCTTCAATGTATTATCCATGCACAGAAAGACCTACAATGATGTTTTAAATGTTTAAACTTTCCTTTCCAGGTTTTTACAAAAGTCTTTGAATATTTGGCTAACTTTTCCTTTTCAGATTGTTAAACATTTTGAGAATTGTTTAATTTTCCCTTCAGATTTTGAAATGACATGATTGATAGTTGAAGTAATGTAATTATGTTATCATGCCATAGTCTTTTGATTTAATATGTAATGAAGTAAACGTAAAGAAATCCTAAAATTGAGGACACTGTAACTTTGCAGATTATACAAATTGATCAAATCACCACTGTTAATTTTATACCTTAACTGTGATTTTATACCTCAGCTGGATCTGTTATGATCCTGATTCTATACCTCACCTGGATCTCTTATGATCCTATGTTTTAAATGCATTTGACTAGTGATTGCCTTAAAGTAAACCTTTAAACTGCAAGCTGGTTTTGATTTTATAGTTTGATAAGTGAGATCAATTAATGATTACATGTTAAAACATATTATTTTAAAGAAGATGTTTTTGCTATTATGCATCTGTGTTTTATGTGTGTTCATTATTGTGCTTGTGACAACAGATGATCCAAACATTGATGAAAGATGATTGTCTGTATCAATCATTGTGGTTGAATGTTTCAGTCTTATTCTACTTTGTGATGTAAATTGATGTATGGTGAGACCACATTCAAATCTGAAGACACCTATTGACCAAATTATTATTAGACTAATGTTTTCAGGTTATCATAAATGATTAAAAAGAGTGGGCTGTTAGGGATTAATTTTGTCAGTGTTTGACATCAGAACTCCTGCTCGTCCCGTGTCTCTCTGAGTCCTGACTCTCCATTGCTACAGAAGTTTCCCTTACAGGAAGGCAATACTGTGTTTGTAGATTTAACATTTGCTCTCCAATGCAAACTTGTTTTTATGGTGGATTGTATTTAACATTGAGATTATAGTACTTTTTAAGGTGTCAGGTGAGGAGTGCAAACCTGCTTATAATCTTTATTTTTGGAAAATATTAGATGAAAAGTATGCATTTGTGTTTTCATTTACGCATATAAGCAACAATATAGGTCGATTAAATAAATGCTATTGTAAAATAGTACGGGAAATTCCAAATAACGCCTAATAGAAAGTATTGATCCCCATATCAAAAATACTGCTTATGTAAAAGTCATTTTCCAAGGAAATTTTTTAAATATTAAGAAAGAGAAATGAGGACACAAACAGCCGTATGAATTCTTTTATTTGTTCTGTGTCAGGCCAAGATACAGATAGAAAGACTGTAAAGATAACATTTGGATAGACCTGGATAATGGATGATATTTTGATGGTAAACAACTACAACATATAAAATGAAAAAACAAATGATAGAAAAAGTTAAAAAGCATTTTCTGAGGTTGCATTTCTTCACATAAACCAGGGAGTTATAAAGCATACTAAAAATGAATTGATTTAATTTTACTTGCCTCCATTCTCTATATTTTTCAAGGTATTCCAGTTTGAAACATAACACAGAGTTAAAACATCAGTCACATGTGGCAAACAGTAACAGTAAGGTTAGAATAATTTTGAGATTATAAATCCAATGCAAATCCAGCATCAGGACTAAAACCACCAGACTCGGGGACAGTTTCATCCCACAGGCCATAAGACTATTAAACACCTGAACTTTGAAACAACATCCATAACATTCTACTATATATTATCTAATATATCATATTCCAATCACTTGTATAGACTCTTATTTCACTATTTCTTACTATTTTTCTTTTTGTATTTAGTATTTACTTGCACTATATTTTTCTGTTTTATTGTGTTGCACTGTTGGAGGAGCCTGTGACATAAGATTTTCATCGTCATGTATGTATGACCAATAAAAGCATTGAACCTGAACTTGAATGACTTTAAGACCTGTGGGTAGCATTTCTCTCCTGTTTTTAAAGCGTAAATTAAATAAATGTTCCCATTCAAATGTAAAAAATATCAGAATTCCTGGTCTTCCTTCTCCAATGTTGCTCATATCTGACTGAAACTACCATAGGATGTTTAAACAATCAGTGTTAACTTCCTGTCTGGGTTAGGACAGAGGAATTTCTCTCCCTGGATCTCAGCTTCAGTCAACACTTTATGCCATCTTTATCTCTCTGTCATCCTGTTTTCCCTGTGCTCACTTAGACACATTAGAAAGCTGCCGAGTACTTATCTAAACTGAAGCCTGAATTCAGTATCTGTTCCTGCATATGTGATGTGTTGGGACAGCATTTGTTCATTTTATTGTGCTGACAGACTTAGAAATGCCTTGAACATTATTCAGGAAGTATTCAGACCCTTTACATAGGTTAGGGAACTGATAATACACTGTGAAAATACTCGGCAAAGGTTAGTGGTTATTGATTTTAAAAGACCATAAGAACATAAAAAACAGTACAAAACGATACAAAAAATAGTATAGTATTGTAATTCATACATTATACAACTGCATAATTAAAGAAAAACACAATAACACATTATATTGTGCGTAAGTGTGCTCATGAGTGTACAAACTGTTCCTACCTCAATATCAAATCACAAATAAAAACACATAATAGGATAATGTCATAAAGCTTGTGAGAACTGCGTATGTGGATTGTTGGACTTATTGGTTGTTTTGTAATATAAAAATAGTTGAAACATTTTTCTTGCTGTTTTGTATATAAAGTATTCGATCATTATTTATCGTAATGTTTAGTTCAATTCAGGAGTTGTTTATGCTTTTGTTCTGAAAGGCAGCTTCAGGCACTGTGATTTGGGTATTGGAGATAAGTGGATATTTGGGTATTTTACCAGGGAAAAATAGGACCTGGAACCTTTTTCTTTGTATTTTTCGATTGAGGAAATCTAAAAAAATAAACTGCATACCAAATCCCTACCTGGACGATGGACTCTATCCCGCATTAAATTCACTATCTGCTGCTTCAGTGGCAGTTTGATTTTTTGTTTGTTTTGGTGCAAATTGTTCATACATGCGTTTCAAATTGTTTCACAGCTGCAATTGCAGTTTTTATCCATCCAATGTAACTGTAAAACTTTGGGTGTAACATCTCTCCATTTCCCCCATTCCCCTGTGAGATGACTCGTCAAATATACGGGACGTCGCTGGGATTGTCCCCTATTCTCCTAGGCTGCAGTCGAATAGTCCATTTAGCTTAGGAACCTTCCTAACCGAGTGAAATGACCCGGAAGTCCCTCAGTGGCAGCCATGTTAAGTGCCGTTCCAATTCTCTAAATGAAAGGAAAGGAGGTTTCAAACTTCCTTTATAACCTCCTTTAGCTTAGGAACCACTGGACCTCCCTCACCGAAAGGAGAGGAGAAAATGCTGCCCCACAATGCTTTGCGGCCGCAGCATTTGCCGTCACACAACAGTCGGCCGTTCACGGACACAACCGATTATGACCGAGAAATTATATCATGAAAGTTACGGTGCTTATTAAGCATTTTAAAACGTATGTGGTAAGTTGCCCAAGTGCTTTGTTTTGAACGATCATCAGTATTATAATCAAAAAGAGAAATATGAACGTTAGTTTTTACTGAAATGATCAAATAAAGTCGACATTTCACAGTCTTCACTGAGCTGTGTGGAGTTTGTTCAACTTTTAAAAGATGTTTGAATGGTGATATACACAGTGATAGATGTTAAGGACTAATGTTTATAATAAATACATTTGTATTGATTTTAAGATCTTTTCATACAATCATACGTATTGGGATCTTTTGTATTGATGTGGACCGGAGGGAGAGGGTGACGAGCATAAGTTTCACTTTCCTTTTTTATTTCAATTCCAACTTTGGTCATGAAGAATATGTTTCTCTGTTGTCCACGTTCATAAAGCATAAAGCAACAGCATCAGAGCACGGTGCAGAGTCTCTAGATGAGTTTACAGTAGTCCCTCGTTCTTATTATACATCCATGTTGTAGTCCGCTATAGAAAACTAGTTTCCATAGTTTCCCCACAGCAGCAGACGCACATTTATGACGTCTGCTGGCGCATCATAAACACGTCGGATAGTGAAAGTGCAGTTGGATTCTCTAAAGTACCGCAGTCTCTTCTCCTAAATCCTTTTGAATTCTCCTATCCACTATCCCTTAACCCCATGACGTTTCACTCAGAGGTCAAGGAATAGACGATAGAGTTAGAACTTAGGAGCTGATTTTTGGACTATTTGACTGCAGCCCTGGAGTCCTGACATAAGACAACCAACCTGTACAAGTTCAGTATGACCACCAGGAAGTTCTTGATGGCGAAGAAGCCCAGCATCTGGTGGAAGACGTGGAAGTAGATCATGACAGTGAGCCTGACCACCAGGAAAGGCCCGTCTTGGATAAACAAAGCCTGTGCGATAGTCCACAAGTCTGTGCTATGTTTGCTTAACATGGTCACTTCCTGAGACCCCTCCTCACAATCATTCCTTGGCTTTGTGTTCACCACTATGTTGAGAAAAGAGACAAAAAACAGATGGTCAGAAAGGAAGCAACAGTAAAGGGTCTCCAGTGTTTTTGTTAAAAATAAAAAGCCTGAACATGGACATAGGTTGAAAAAAGCTTATTATTAAATCTGTTTGCACTTATTTTCCTTATATGTGAGCATGCCTGTGCTTTCACTGTTTCACATTGTATCAAGGTGTCCTTGAGATTCCTGTGAATCCCACAATTTATGATAAAAGCTTTTGGTTTCAATATTAAGCCATGCAGATAGTTTGAATTGTTTGCTGCATTTTTGTGACAGACCGTAAGCTAAAGTAATAGTGAACTATAGTTAATGTAGTTTTTGGTGTCTGCATGGTCAATTATAATCTTTCAACCTAAGATTTTAGGCAAGCTTGGCTCAAAAGTCTATAAAGTGTTAAGCAAAAAAGACAAGACATTTCAAGCAGATGGAAATCATTTAATATAAATTGTTTCAGAAAAGCTACCTAAATAAACCTAACTTTGCTTTTTATTCCAAAATCTTAACAGATTACTCTTTGCAGCTGCGTCACATAGTTACTGCACTTGTTTTCAAAAAAGTATTGTCCGCATTATTTGTGGGGGGCAAAGCCCATAGTGTTTCTTTAAATGTGAAAAAAGTGTCCCCAACACTTTTTCTAAGTGTAGCCTACCAGTCGTTTTTGAATATTTATGTCAAATATTGTAGGCCTTCGTTGTCGCTTTTAATGTCGCATTTGTAGAGTATAAACAAAAGTTATTAAACATGAGAAAGTTTAACAAAAGCAATACGCAGCAGAGAAGAGGCGGCTGCTGTGTCAGCAGCGCTGAACGTCCGCACGAGGGCAGCGACCTTATTATACATCCATGACAGCGACCCGCAGATTTAACACTGACCTCAGCTCACACTCAGGAAACAGAGTGCGGAGTCGGTACAACAAATGTGTAACCCTATGCGATATGGTTAGAAGGAAGCTAAATGTGCCTCGGCATAGTATAAAGACTAGCAATGAATCAATGGTTAAATGCTCCAGCCAGAGAATCGGAAACTCAAACACACCTATAGGTGCATGGTGGATGATATTGCTAGCATGCTAATGTGGCTCCTTAGGTGACTTCTACGGTAACTGAGGAACTTTAGGGTTTCATTCAGTTTGAGCTTGTTTAGATGTGGACTGGTCAATCTGAACTATCAGAAGTTTGGGAATAAACCAAGTTAAACAGAGACAGCGCAGAGAACCCCCCGGAGGCCGTTCACCCTGGTGAGTGCAACAAACATAGGAATAGAAGGAGAGTAGAAGGGATAACTTACCGTTCACCGTGTGGTGATTAAAACAACGTTAGTTAAAAAGAAAACGGTGATCATAACTGTATATGCACATACAAACATTACAGTCAAGTTACATCAGAGAAACATGGCCTCCACTCTGACCACCCTGCCAGGGTCGGCTCTAGAACAAATCGAATGGGGGGGAAATCATTTACCACGGGGGGCACACACTGCCGTCAACAACCAACACACAAACACCAACGCAACTTCAAAAAACATGCTGTAAAGTCTATTGTCTTTCACACACATTGCAGGGGTGTAGTGCTATTTTATAGCACACCTATGACTGGCACGACCACCAACACAGAAACATATGGACATAGGCCACCATATAAAAGTGTGCAAATGTATTTAGTATCCTATTCATGTGAACATGTTTTAGGTGGGGGGTGGACCTAACCTCCTCTAGGGGGGGTCTGGGGGCATGCTCCCCCGGGAAGATTTTTTTTTAAATATTGAAGTTAAATGCATCAATCTGGTGCACTTTGAGAGCAAAATGAAGAGATCTATGGATAGTCTACCTCTCTCAGCATCCATATGAAACAGAACTGTAAACAGATGTACTTTTTCTTTATGGATATTTTACTAATCACTCCCCTTTTAAACTGTATTCTTGTGTTACTGTCATATAGTATTTCATACCCGTTTTTCATTTATTCTCTTATTTTTTAATAACTATAATGATCATATAAAGGTGTTCCTCGCAAATAATTGTTTACATAAATGGTGACCAAACCGTTTGAGACCCACTGAGATAACTTACACTAAAGTTAACTATCTAAACACTGAGAGAGTCCTTTACCTCACTGAGCTGACGTTATAAGATCCTCTCAGTCTGACAGGAGAGGACTCTCCTCCACCTTGGTGTAGAAACAGATCTTTATATCCGTTAGCATAGCTAGCTAACCAGATGCTAACAACAACGTTACCGCTCGCGCACTCACAAAATGCGCACACAGAGCCGAGCTTCAATGAAACACAGAGACCCAGAAGTACTTGTACAGTATACTGTACTGTACATCATATTATTGTCGATGGCTTTACTGTATAATCAGTATAACAGATTAACAGATCGCCACTCGCTTTCATCTAAACACACAGCCACGTAATGATAACAAAACAAAGGTCGGGGGTCATTGGTCAAGCACACCAATCAGAGAGCAGCAGTGAGCACACCTCAGGCTGTGTTTTCAATTCAATTCAATTCAAAACCTTTATTTATCCAGGTAAAATCCCATTGAGATCAATGATCTCTTTTTCAAGGGAGACCTGCAGCAGTAGGTTCCACAAGAAGACATAAACAACAGAACAACAAAAGGACATCATACAGCAAAATGTACAGGGATTACAATTTACATATTTAACCACAAGTACAGGTACCAACAGCAACTGATTTTGTAGCATCCAACCGAGCTTTAAAAACATGTAGTGGTACTAGCTTGGTAATTTTCCATTCTTTTTGCAGACTGTTCCATGTTAGTGGAGCTGCACATCTAAAAGCTTTCTTCCCTAAGACAGTCCTAGCACTTGGCACATTTAATAAAACCACAGCATGCGATCTCAGGCAATAAGTACTTTCGATTCGCCGAGAGATCAGGGAGCAGATATAAGATGGTAGTTTATCCAACATGGCTTTGTAAATGAAAAAGTACCAGTGACTGAGCCTCCGTACAGTAAGTGATGGCATAACCGCCTTGGTATACAGGGTACAGTGATGCGTAAGTGCTTTACAATTTGTCAAAAATCTCAGTGCACTGTGATACGCAGCATCTAACTTGCTCAGGTAATTGGCAGGTGCATTCATATATAACAAATCACCATAGTCCAGCACAGGTAAAAAGGTCACAGTGACTAGCCTTTTCCTGGCCTCAAGCGAGAAACAGGACTTATTTCTGTAAAAGAAACCTAGCCTAACCCTCAGCTTTTTAAGCAGGTTATTGACATGAAGTTTAAAAGTGAGACAGTCATCAAGCCAGATACGCAGGTATTTGTAACAGGTAACCACTTGTATTTGTATTGTTTATTTCTGATTTATTTCAAACAAAAAACTTTTCATGGAGACGTTTTCACTTATATGATTAAAAAAAACGGCAAAGTGGCAAGGCTTGCCCGCCCTGCGTTGGGGGGTCACAGTGACTCATTTGGGGGGGCATGGCCCGCGAATGACGCCGACCCTGCACCCTGCTGTTTTAAAAAAGAAAGAAAATGTGTTCTACTCTAAATCTATGTCTATGACAACACACCACACACTTACTGAACTCATTAAAACGTCAAGAACCACTCTGCCTTGCAACATAACGGTGTGTTTACACACTGTATAAACATGTTTTTCGTGGCTTAAATAGTGGTCTGGGGTCATAGATTGTTTCATAAGCTTTTTTTTTAATGGTTTTTAGTTATTTTTCTCTTTTTCTGGTTCATTCTAATGAAGGGGAAATTAGCGGTTTTAAACTATAGGCCTATGCCTATTTATAATTGATGATTGGTTGTACAACAAGGCAAATCATTGTTGGTTTGGCCATTAGGGTTCATGTAGCTGATTTGAATGCATACATTGACATTTAATGCAGTTTATTTTGGATCCTAATTATCGTAAAAATCAGTAGAATAAACCTGCATTCTTGGTTTGTTGCATTCTCCAACCCTTCTTGCCTGTGGGGAAAAGCTGTCTACAATTTGTCTTGTGTTTGGACATTCTTCTTTACTGTATAGACCACTAAGGCAAGATTGTGTAGGCCTCAACCTTTTCAACTTTCTCTGGGTTCATAGCATGCTCTCCACAGAGTTGTATATATAGTGTTAACAGTCTATGGCTCTATCAGGCTCCTGAACATATTGCACCTGTACGTCCACACTTGCTATGTTTACGTGGCATTCAAACAAAGTGGACACGACTGACTAACAAAAAGACACGCCCACATGAGTAAACACAAACACAAACTGAAGAAAAAGCAGCTTCATCTGTAAACACAACAGAGCTCGGAGTATTACATCTCTAAGTGCTCTGAATGCACTATAAGATAAGATATACCATTATCATCCCACTAGGGAGATTCAGACGGTAAAGCTACAGATAAAAGTTTCACTGTTAAAAGTCTCATCATCCATTTTTACATTATTGAATGTTGGGTTATGAATCATTTATAATAAAGGGGCCTTGTCTTTTCCGAGAACAGAGTTGTGCTGTTTCTAATCGCGTTACAATGTTACAATTGTTCCGTCAAAATGTGTGGGCGGGTATTTTGTGTGCTTATTATAAAAGGTTGCAGAACGACAGCTGCAAGTTGGGTCTTGCCTGATAACGGCTTTCTCTTATCAGCCGAGTTGAGCACTGGTGACATTGAATCTATTCATATCATGAATATATGGGACTGGATTTCATCCTGTAGACTGTCATCATTTGTACAAAGTCCTCAAGTACATCCTTCCTGTTAGTAATTTATGTTAGTTGTGATTCGTTTTTAGAACAATGTGTCTGTAATAGGGACTTAACTGTGGCTTGGGAGATGAACACAGACTTACGGGTTAAAATTTGACAAAGCTAGAGATAGTGGCGTTTTCAGACTACTTTTTACTGTTTCTTACAGCGGGCCTGGAAGCTGCTGACTAAACACATTGTTGGATTGTGTCACACTAGGACAAATACACAGCTGTATCTGCTTTATAATCACCAAAGTAATTAGTTTAAGACACACACGTACCAGCCAGATGTAGCGGGAACTGCAACATGCTCCAAGTCCATACAGCTAAAATTATGTAGACCAGTTTAGGATGGCTCGCTCTGGAAAAGAAAACAGAAAACATAGTCAAGGTCAGTCCTGTGAGTTCAAATAAATGTCAATAGGAAGATGCTAATTGCAGTTAATGCATTGATGTCCTGAGCTGGGCACACAGTTAAGGAAACTTCCCCTTCAAAGTATTTGAGTTCTACATCTTTGCATCTAGTGTTCATAAATAAGTGTTAAAGAGGCCCTATTATACTTTTTAGGGTTTTCCCTTTCCTGGAGTGTGTTTGAGCAATTGCTCTTTCATTGGATTTTAATATTATTCAATAATATAAAGTTAGTTTTATGGCCGGAAAATAAATGTATGATCATTTTAGAGTTGTAGTTTGTCAATTTTGTGGCAATTATGCATATTTGTATCTTCCTGGTATTAAAGCAGTACAGTAGTCATATCATATAACAATTTTTTATGTTTTTTATGTAAAAAGTAGCTAGTATCTATGAGTGTTAAATACATTTAATGTAGTGAAAAGAACAATATTCAAACTAAAATATAAATATGCTACTTATCCTAAAGTACAGCAAAAATATTCGCCACTCACTTGACATCAGACAGTGTCTCACAAGTGAATTCAAGGATGTCTGCCGCAGTGCCAACGAAAATTAGGAGAAGCTGCGAGAGCTCGTCACGTGTGACTCCGCCCCCCAGTGGGAGGACCCACTTCCCCACGATGAGGAGGAGGAGCATGGTCTGATGAAGACCCAAGATCCAATCGTTGGAGCAGACAGTCGTTAACATCTGGTTAAAGAACTGTAAAAGGAACATAGATTGAGTTTTGTCAATAACTTACACTAACCCTCTTACACTACATTCATCCCCTAATGTGCAGTTAGCTCTCAGCCCGTGCAATGCTAACAGTTTCTGATATGATTGTAGCTATTTAGAGGTAATATCAATTAAAGTGGAGGTGGGAATAGACATTTTTCCTCCTCATCAAGACCTATTTCTTGTAGCCAAAACAAAAGAGACACATTATATTAAGATTGAAAAAAAGAAATCGTTAATACACAAATCAAACCAAATGATATAAACTGAGTTGGGGTCTGTCTCTCAATACTTTCTGGCATCTTTTTAAAAAAGGCTCAATAATGCAAACAGCTTTGCACTGTAGTCAAACACGAGCAAACCGGAACTGTCTTCAATAGCTTTTGGACTACAGTATAGGTTAATGGCAGAGGAAAATAAATTGTATAAATAGGATTTTTGTCCAAAAAGAACATTGTAGTGTATCACAAGAGTTATCTGTATGAAACTCCAGTTTGTTGCAGAATGTGGACTTTGTTTTTGTAACTGAAACACAATAACGAGCTGAGGCATGCAGACTAGGGCTGCAAAATATATTGTGCGATATTAAGTAGGCAAATTAACTCAAACACGTCATGTTACAATTATGTTGCTGCTTGCTACAAAAGGAAAACTTGAGTGAGTGACATGCCGGCTCTGCATGCACAGCAAACCACCAATCACAATCATTCTTGATCAGATCACAGCAGGATAACCGAGCTAGCTCAGCTTGTTGCTCTGATAACTTTAAATCCAGAAGTCCGTGACTAAAATCCTTTATCCGGTTAAATATCGTTAAAAAAATACCAATTGTATAGCATTAAAGTTCAAGAAAGGGTGGTTTGCGGACCAAAAAACGGTCTTTTCTTCAATTCCTGTATTTTTTCATATCGCAGGGGAAGAAAATATCGCAATGTCAGTTTTTTCCAATATCGTGCAGCCCTAATGCAGACCGTTTTTGGAGTTGTGCCCCAACAAATATTAGCTTTCTGATCCCCTGAGCTTAAAGGGTGTGGTGGTGGTCTAGCTGGTGTTTATGTTAAGCCATTTTAAAAGGTTCCCTCTTACTGTTATTGGTTACATGGGTTTGTCAGGCTCTTTGTTACAATTGGCAAAAAGTCACTGCCCTCTCATTTGTATCTCTTTGTAAATTATGTTTTGTTTTTGCATTCTACGGTTTGCTCTCAGTTCTGTCTCTTTTCACAGGAAGCTAAACACAAAGACGGCACTCATTGACATTGGGTCAGTCACAGACACATTTGCGTACTTCTTCATTTTTAATTCTGCCGTTGATGCTGTTCATAATAATTGCCTTGTTTGTCTGAGAACTGGCACAGTGTATTTCTGGTTGTAATGTTGCGTTTCTCCGACCTGTGGAGTTCCTCAAGGACCAATAATTGGGCCTATTTTATTCTTATCCACATGCTACAGTATTGATACTTACAAATACATACATAATTGCATTCCTTCACCCCTGTTTTTTCACTTCCTTTTTCCCAGTTTTAGAACATTTTGAAGTTACATCCCCACAGATTCCCCTTAAATTCAAAGCAATGCTCCATCTAATTGCAAAAGGGATGCATCCTTAGTGTCTGATCTTAATGAGGATGCCTGCATTTATAATTATTAAGGATATTTAAATAACAAGGACTAGGACATCCCATGTCTAATGAAACTAAAGAAAGTTGTATATTTCTTAGACATATGTTCTATACAAAACAATCATCCCTGATCATGTTACAAGCACAGTTGACTGACTGTTTAAGTTGTGTGGACCTTGACTAAAAATGTCCACCAGAGATAACAACAAGGGTAGGGGGGTTTCTTCTTCTCGGCATCCGGGCCTGTATTTGTTGGAAGATGCTGTGTCTCTTGATGTTCATGTTATTCTCATCTGCATTCACTCCAAGTAGCTCTGAGTAACTCTCCTCAGGGATCTGATATTCCCCAGAACTGGCTTCCAATCAGCTATAAGATCTACACATCCACAGTCTGTTTGATACTGAAGATCAACAGTATGGTGTTGCATAAAGTAAAGAGAAGTGCGAGTAACTTAGCACTAAGAAAGACACATTTTACTTTAATGGCAGTGTTGACAGTTTGGTTTTTCTGCAGTAAATTGCAGGCAAATTGCATGATTTGTCTGCATGAGAGAATCCGTTCAATAGTTTTACCACTTATCTTTCATTGTAAAAATCTTTCAAAAAAACACAGAAAAGTAGTAGTAGAAAACTAGATTTGATTGAATCATGTATCATCATTTTAATATCTGTGTGTTCAATATGAAGATCGCCAGCAAGCAGTTAGCTCGGCTTGGCATACAAACAGAAACTGGGGATAAACAGCAAACCTGGAGCTATAGGAACATATGCATCATATCAGCCCTTGGAAGTAAAAACTGGAGTCTATTTTCCTGGAAATCTCACAGAGAAATTCTAGAGAAATCTGCACTTTTATGTTCGGTTTCATTTTAGGAGCTTGTGGTTAGTTTAATTTCCACAAATATGTTGCATCTGCAATATAAATGACATCCAAGAAAATCCTGGAACACCTTTTTTAATGCTTGTTCATTTCTGTTTTTGTCGGGCACATCAAAAATATGATTTAGAATAGGAGGCAAATAAAGTAAAACACATCTTTTAGTCTATCATTCTTACCATCAAGGCGTCGGGGTTTGTTTCATTTCCCACGGTCCTGTTCGGGGTCAACAGCTTACGCATATTCTCCCAGGAGTCAAGCTTTTTGCACTGAAAACCATGAGAAGAAGATTTGAACACACTTAATTGTACTTTTCGATATAAACATAAAAGCTAAAATGCTAAAGAAGAATTCAATGGAGTCAATGCATAATTGAATGACTGCAGCGATGTGTGCTAACATCTAGAGCAGGGGTGTCAAACTCAAGGCCCGGGGGCCAAATCCGGCCCGCAACCTCATTTTATGTGGCCCCGCAATACCTTGCAAAGAATATAATGTTTATTATACGGTTACATGGGGATTTACAGAAGCACGTTGCCCATAAACTACATGTCCCACAATGCATCTGAAATTTGACTTTTATCTTAGAATTTGACTTTTTCTCAGAATTATATTTTCTTTTCTTCAAAATGTTAGTTTTTTTTAAATGTAATTTTTTTTTCAAAATGTCACTTCTTTTTTTTGTTTTTCCAGAATGTGGCGTTTCTTTTAAAAAAAATGTGTGACACTCACTGAAGAGACTTGACTTCTGCTTTCAGACTTAGTTAATTATGAAGTTATTAGCCTATCCGATAATAATCCAATGCAGAGGCAATCATGTAATATAATACATTATTTTATATATATTACATATATGTATTTTTATATAGTCTTAAAGTTACAACCGGCCCTTTGAGTGCAATCATAATGCTGATGAGGCCCACGATGACATTTATTTTGACACCCCTGATCTAGAGTTTTGCAACCCTCCCACCCATCAACATTTGTGAATAGATAACATGTTTGGGAAGCTTGGGAACTGAGGTTTAAAACTCTGTCTTAGTATTTGCTTTTTGCTACCGGCTGGTCGCTGACATTTTCCGTCTGGTCTGGGAGCTCCAGGATCCAAATGGTGGGAATGATGCTGATAAGAAACAGTAAGATAGGCGGGGAAAACCTGCAAGAGATCCAGCAGAGCTTTAGCAACATAACATCAGAAAGTGGGCACATAGTGAAGAAAGATGTGATACCATAATTCCAAAAAGACAAGCAAAAAATTGTTAATAAATATAAGAATGATGTTGAGCTGAAATGATTAGTTGATTATATGAAAATAGGTCAATTGACAGATAATTAGGTTGCAGTAAAGCAGTGTTTCTCAAACTTTTTCATACCAAGGACCACTTAACCAAAAAACAAAAAAACACTCACGGACCACCTAACGCCCCAAATATCCAAAAACAAAAAGGCCTGCTTACCACTCCAACAGTTTATAACAAATGACAGCCTAATAATGACAGCTTAACCTTCTCTATATCGCCTCGTTCACACATTGAATCAACAATACAAATACAACTACAGATTATATAAGCATTTCGTTAAAATGCCATTTAAAATGCCCTCAGGTTTTACACCTCTTATGAAATGTAGACTACATTTATTACGGAGTTTATGTCTGAGCCAACAGACTCACAGATCGTTGGCTACTGAGAGAAATGCAAAACAAACTGCATGTAGCACGACACAAACCTCAAAATAAAATACAGTAAAGCTATGATTGCAGGCCCTAGTTTAACTCTCTGAGGTCCAAGCCATTTCTTCACGTTAGGCTCGCCTGGGCTTTTTTTGTAAAAAAGCTATTAAAACATGAACCTTGGTGGCCATCGGCCTGGCCTGCAGAAAAATAAAAAAACGTTTTTGCAGCCCCAACAACAGCCTCTGATTCATCAACAGACGTCATGTAATGCTTCATTGGATGCATATATTAGATATATAATCTATATCTAACTCCTAAAACATCTAAATCTACTTCCAGCCTGGATAAATGTTCATAAAAGACATCCATTGTTTGTTTTATACGCTTCTTGAAATCTAAAATAAAAACACATAGTTTTTCTAGAACAGATAACAAATCGCCTGAAAATGGTACAAACAAGTGGCAACATGTGTGCCGAAGGTGTTGCCCTGGGCTATATCATGCAATCAAAGGAAATCGAAAGTTAAACTCACTCCATTGCGGAGATATTCCCGCGAGAGTGCGGAAAACTTTAATAAATACATTTATTTCAAATGTGAAATTGTACCAATATACTCATGGACCACCAGTGGTCCGTGGACCACACTTTGAGAAACACTGCGAGTAAATTAATCAATTGTGAAAATTCTAAATAAAAAACACAAGAAAGTTGATTTAGCTGAATTTCCATTATAAGGATCCTGAATATCAGTAAACAAGTGACTTGAAGCATGATTCAAGTTAATTAAAATGTCCCTTATTTATGATTACCCTCTTTAAGATTTATTTCCCACAAAAAAATGTCTTTCTGTTGTACTGTTAAAATGTCTAAGGGGAGGGAATTCTACGATATGTAGATGTTGTTTTAATATTTGAGGATTATCAGGATAACGTTGTGATTCGCAATTATTTAAGCTTGCTCATATCATCCCATGTCTGTGCCCAGCATTTGAAATATTATTATTTGTTGTTCTTGTTTGTCAAATTGTTTGAAGATGTCTTCATTGGCTCTTTCCATGATTCATCATTTTATTTTATAATGTGCAGCTTGTTTGATAAAGACTGTAGTTGCAGCCCTACACCTGGGTACTTTATCATCACGTCTAATTGAATCTGATTTACTTTATGTAAAATATTTTAATAATTTGAGTCTTTTGTGACTTAAACAGTTTGTCCAGTAGTTCGATTTTTTAAAGTAGCTCAAGCTATGTTAGCTAAGTCTTAATAAATAAACAGGATAACAAAACAAATGGCTGGACATCACTGAGCATAGAAAGGAAATTATTGGGTGGATGCTTAAATTCATAAATAAATACAGTGAAATACAGGCTATTGTTTACAGATTAGTTATGGTCCTTGAGTTCTGGGGTTACACCCTCACACCCCATCCGAACTGCCCCAGGAGGGCTGCACAATAGCAGAGGACTGAGAGGAGGGGACAGGCAGGATGCAGGGGTCTATTTGGGGCGGTGGGGGAAGGGTTAAAAACGGGATAAATGACAAAAGCTTAAATTACTCATGCATACAGCCATAATGTAAATCTGCAAACAAGATTTCTGAGATTAGTTTTACACACAAATACATGCATTACATTAAATGAAACCCTAAAGCATAGCATGCTGATTAACTAACACTTAGAGCATGCACCACTTCTTACCATTTGTAATCACGTCCACTTTGTCTCTTCAGCGTTACTATCATTTCCACGACAAGCGGCAGAAAGAGGAAAGTTAGGAACCAGTACGTGTTGTCCTTCTTCTCCGATGTCACCCTCCACACGCCGATCAGAGAGACCAGGACAAACAAGGCTCTGGTTATAATCGCACATATAGACTTGAAGAGCCCCATGACTGCAGGTTGCAGGTCGCAGAGAATCCTGAAATGAATCTCCTCCTGAGAGTCGGTTCAGCAGCAGCAAGGGTGATCAGATGTTGAGTTTAGTTCTTCTGAAAAGAGTCCCCAAACTTTAAGCCACGCCTAGAAAGACACGCACATCCAGTTGTACCTGCAGGGAGGGAGGCGGCGGGATCATAGAGGAGAGAGGGGGAGGCGCTGAGTTCGTCTGGTAGCCAAGACAGATAGATAGACAGATAGACAGATAGATAGACAGACAGATAGATAGATAGATAGATAGATAGATAGATAGATAGATAGATAGATAGATAGATAGATAGATAGATAGATAGACAGTGGAAATACACATTTCCAGTAACAAATATAATGCAGGATATTATTGTGCAAGAAATTGATTATTCAATATTAAATTGAATATAAATGTAAAATGTACAGTGGGAGTTTAAGTCCAGTGATAAGCTATAGAGTTATTGCAGTGGGCAGGAATGTTTTCCTGTATCGGTCCTTGTGACCAACCCGGTATCACGGCAAGACGTGAACATGTGACGATTGACCATGCTGGGAGACGTGAAGATGTCACGGTTTCGTCCCCTTCAAACGTGACCAGGGTCGGCATCATGGGGGGTCATTCGAGGGCCATTCCCCCCCAAATGAGTCACTGTGCCCCCCCCCCAACGCAGGGTGGGCAAGCCTTGCCACTTTGCCGTTTTTTTTTTTTTTTTAATCATATAAGTGAAAACGTTTCCACTAAAGGTTTTTTGTGTGAAATACATCAGAAATAAAGAATACAAATATAAAACACAGCCTGAGGTGTGCTCACTGCTGCTCTCTGATTGGTGTGTTGCTTGACCAATGACCCCCGACTTTTGTTTTGTTATCATTACGTGGCTGTGTGTTTTAGATGAAAGCCCAGTGGCGAATCTGTTCATCTGTTACACTGATTATACAGTAAAGCCATCGAAAATAATATGATATACAGTACAGTACAAGTAGTCTACTTCTGGGTCTCTGTGTTTCATTCAAGCTCGGCTCTCTGTGTGTGTGTGGCACGATCGCATTTTGTGAGTGCGCGAGCGGTAACGTGGAATGTTGTTAGCATCTGGTTAGCTAGCTATGCTAACGGATATAAAGAGCTGTTTCTACACCAAGGTGGAGGAGAGTCCTCTCCTGTCAGACTGAGAGGATCTTATAACGTCAGCTCAGTGAGGTAAGGACTCTCTCAGTGTTTAGATAGTTCACTTTAGTGTAATTTATCTCAGTGGGTCTCAAACGGTTTGGTCACCATTTATGTAAACAAGTATTTGCGAGGAACATGTATATGATCATTAGCCTATAGCCTAGTTATTAAAAAAATAAGAGAATAAATGAAAAACGGGTATGAAATACTATAGGACAGTAACACAAGAATACAGTTTAAAAGGGGAGTGATTAGTAAAATATCCATAAAGAAAAAGTAAATCTGTGTACAGTTCTGTTTCATATGGATGCTGAGAGATGTAGGCTATCCATAGATCTCTTCATTTTGCTCTCAAAGTGCACCAGATTGATGCATTTAACTTCAATATTTTAAAAATAATCTTCCCGGGGGAGCATGCCCCCAGACCCTCCTAGAGGAGGTTAGGTCCACCCCCCACCTAAAACATGTTCACATGGATAGGATACAAAATACATTTGCACACTTTTATATGGTGGCCTATGTCCATATGTTTCTGTTTTGGTGGTTGTGCCACAACCGTGCATGTATGCACAAGTCATAGGTGCGCTAGGAAATAGCACATACACTCCTGCAATGTGTGTGAAAGACAATAGACTTTACAGCATGTTTTTTGAAATTGAAGTTGCGTTGGTGTTTGTGTGTTGGTTGTTGACGGCAGTGTGTGCCCCCCCCCCCCCTTGGTAAATGATTGCCCCCCCATTCGATTTGTTCTAGAGCCGACCCTGAACGTGACAGCTACACGGTATTGTTAACCCATGTTAACCAGTGGAGAAATAACCGGAAATACCAAGCAAATGCTACCCCGACGTAATGATTTATTTTGTAATAGTCACACTCGATTACAGCGATTTTCTTGTTGCCCCAGCTGGTCGACACCTCTTTTAGCATAAACAAAGGCTACATTAATGTATTAAATCGATGTTAATCCATGCGTGTGGATGTGGAATTAACGGACGTGACGTTGTGCGATTGAGTTGCCAAGCAACAGCTTCGGTTCATGTTAATTTACAAACTATTCAACTATAACCGTAGTTATATTTAAAAATATGTTAGAAGGCCTCACGAAATACTTTAATGCACATTAAAATGTAAATGTGAAGGAATGTGTGTATAACAAAATACATCGGTCATTAAACGAAACCGGAAACAGACGTAGGCAAGATCTTCAGCTCGATGATTGGATGGTTATCCGCAATGCATTCTGGGATTTGGTGTTTATGTGATGTGAAATCTGAAAACGTTTTTTAAAAATACAATAATACTTTATTCCGAGTGTGCTTGCGTTTCTCTTTGAAAGTCATCACATAACGGCATTGTAATACACGGTTCGGCTGCATTAAATATGACATATCTGCCGTAATTCTCTATTTATAGAGCCCTGCTGAGAAGACTTCTAGACAAACAGGAGAACTGCCGCCAAAACTGAAGATGTGACGTGGATCATAAATATATAGGCAATTAAACAACATCTTACATTTATTTTCACACAATACGTCTCCTTGCAGTATCAACACTAATTCGGCTGACTTTTATATTTGATCCAATTGGTAGATAGGCTGTATTTACACCATAACCGTGCACAGCTGATAGAAAGGGACACCTGGTGGTCAAAGCACGTTATTGAATTGTATTATTTTATTATTAGATATTAATAGGAGGATGTGCAAAACAGACAAACTAATAAGGCTTAATTTAAACATTAAAGAGTACTTTAGGTTAAGGTCTTCTTTTGAATAAGAAAAAAGCTTTAAGAAGAATATGGAGGGATGAAACCCTCTTGAAACCGCAGGTCCTTCCTTCCTGCAGCGGTCAGACTTTACAACCAGCACTGCCCCTTGTAGACCCTCCTACACACACCACAACACAGACTATAACCAGGGGTGCACATAACTTTTTTGCCCTGGTTCTCAAAGGAGCACCTGGAGATGTTGCTTGGTGCTCATCCTTAAAATGAAATAAACCGTAACTTTTGAGGGGGTCTTGACTTTATTTGCCAGACACACGGCACTGAACACACGTGCAGAGGTGAACACAGAACACACATGCAGAGGTGAACACAAGACAACATTAGCTCAACCAGTAATCCTACAAGCTGTCATCACTACCCTCCTGACTGTTCTCCTCACTGTCTTCCTCTCTGTCAGACATGGTAGCTGATGATGTAGGCCTACTACTTTCTCTCTGGTTGAGTCTGCGATTAGCTGCTTGCATCCACAAGTCAACAGCTGGTTTTGGGTCGAAAGTCTCTGTTGTCATCTTAGACAAGTGGATGTAATCAAATAAGTATGTGAACATAACCAATAGCCTACCATAGCCAATAACAAATTAATGTAACTTATTTTATTTGTGTTGTTCATTCAAATCTTATTTTACCTTAACATTTATTTATTTATGCATTTTTTTTGTATCTCTCCAGTTTTAAAGGATATTTTTGGTTACTGTCCTATAGTATACATTGGAATGATTTAAAACCTGTTTATCCCAATAATTATAAAGGAGTGCCTTGGAAATATGTGTTTACATAAATTGTGACCAAACCGTTTGAACTTAGACTACGAGTCCTTTACCTCACTGAGCTGTAGTTAACTTATCAGCCTCTCAGTCTGACTGGAGAGGACTCTCCCTCCACATTATTGTAGAAACATCTTCTTCTTATCTCCGTTAGAGCAGCTAGCACGGCACCAGATTATAATAACAACAGCGCTGGTACCACCCTCCCTCTCTCCCTCGCTTACTCGCATTTTGTCTGTGAGCTGCGGGCGCCAGATAAGCCAACATCCCCCATTTTCATCACTTACAGCGCCCATCGTACAAGGCAAATGAAAGGTGGAACCGGGGTGAAAAGGGTGTTACATTTACTTCATTGTGAATATTGTTACATCAAGGCCGAAAATTAGGATGAGCCCCAACGGTCAAAAAAAAAAGTTCCCTCCCAGAACTGCCAGCGCAGCACCTCCCCAGATCTGGCGCCCTATGCGAACATCTAGCCAGCGCTACGGGCCGGCCCTGAGTTCATATCATGGTTCATATGCAACTCGCAAATATCTTTCTCTAACATCTAGCCAGCGCTACGGGCCGGCCCTCAGTTCATATCATGGTTCATATGCAACTCGCAAATATCTTTCTCTCTCTCTTCTCTCCTCTCTCCTCTATTTTCTCTTTCTCTCTCCCTCTCAATGTTGGTACGCAAATGCGCTTTATTTCAAATGACCCGGTGCGGAGGTGCGCATGCGGTTATGTGCAGCCCTAACACCCCTTGCTGCTAAATACAAACCAACTTTGTGCAATATGTGCTATATGTGCAATATATATATTATGCCATTAATAACTGTGTAATTTATACCTGGCCACTAAATCAATATATATGCCGTTTTGTTTTTGATCTGTATTTTTGAAAATTATGTAACTTTTTATCTTTTTTTTAGCATATTGTTTATTATATTATAACTTAGTACTTTTTTAGCATATTGTTTATTTTATTCTAACTTAGTACTTTTTTAACGCATGTAAGATATGCAACACTAAGCTGTCTGTGGCTCTTTCCTGCTGTAACGCTGCACATTTCCCCTCTGTGGAACTAATAAAGGTATTCTGATTCTGATTCTTTAATGGTCACACATGCAGAGCACACAGCACACACAGTGACATTTGTATCTACAGATAAATATTAAGCCTGACAAAGTACTTAACGTCTAATATATTGCTTTCCTGCAATGTTAACTATGTTTAAGCTCTTATTTGTTTATTATTTGTTTATTATTAAACTGATATTATACATATGTATTATACTCTTATAAGATGTATGTAGATAGTATAAGAAATGTGCAGAATGACAGTTTAATGGTGGAGTATACACACATATTGATAGATGTCTTGCAAT